AAAATGGAATTGATAGAAACTGCAAAACACAACTTTTACAGCATACCTCTAACAGAGCCGACGCCGACTATTGTGAGCGAGCCAGTAGTTTCCGACATCATGCCCCTTGACGTCGCTCCGTTGCAGCAGGTGGTGACGTAAATAGACGAGCCTACTGCAGTGACCGACATCTCGCAAGAGGTGTCGGAAGAGCCTTGCTTAAATGTAGTCCAATGGCGCAAGAGATCCAGCGTGTCTCATGTGGCCGAGAGGATGAAGAAGAAGCCAAACACCGGCGCCGGTAACGATAAGTAGGAGGAGCCTAAAATCATTCTGAGGGACTCTTTCCTCAAAGTGAATGAGAAGAAAGCGGCGGAGCTAAAACTGCCAGAGGATGTGTTTGATCCCTGGTTCGCTATGTTCCAAACAGTTGTCGAGCCAAAAGTTACAATTAACCATCGGGTCCCCAGCGAGGCGGTGAAGGCGGCGAAAGTTCCATTGATGTCATGGGATCTGAAGACCCACGCCGGGATTGCGTCTCTACCCGACGACCAGAAGTTTAGTTACGCCCGAGGGTGTTTGGGACGAGCACTCGTCAGTTTTATCGCGGCCGAAGAAAGTTATCGGGATCGGGTTCACGAGCTGGATGAGAAACAGCATGAACTAAGTCTGAAGGAGGGTGCCATAGCGTCCTTAGAAGATGAGAAATCTCGCTACGAGGCATCAATGTCGGAGAAGAATGCCCAATTGAAAGTGGCACAAAACGAGGTGGGCGCCCTTAAAACGGAAAGGGAGAATCTTTTGTTGGCCCATGACCTCATGTCGGTTCAACTGGCTAAAGTTGCCGATGTAGCCAAGGAGAAAGACGAGCAGCTTACGAGGTTGAAGGCTGAGCTTCAAGCTTTCCGCAAGGACCGATCTGATAAGGATGCTGAGCTAATCCGATGTCGCGAGGCTCATGAGATTGCTATGGGTAAACTCCGACAAGAGATGACAACCGCAGCTGAGCTCAAATTTCAAGAAGGCATAGATGTCGGTAAAAAAGCTTGGCGGATGCTGTGACCGAATGGGATCTGGAGTTAAATGCTGCGTTAACACTACGTTGGGTTATCGACCGAGTAGAGAATGGCATCTACACCATCGATGAGCTGCGCATCTTCTTGTTGCGTAAAATGGAGAAACATCGCCTCAACCCTGAAATTAAAAATGCTCATATTCCGGCCGACTAAGATGAGCGAGACTTCGCTGATCGACTTCTAAAGCCGAAAGAGAGTCGGATTCTAGAATTGGACATGGTGCCGTTATCGGAAGAGCACAAGGCCAAGATTCGTCGGGCCTTCATCAATATGGTCCTTGAAGTGGAGAAGGTCAAAAAACCCGACTTAGCGAACATATGTGTTGAGGCGATTGCTGAGGCGTTCGTCGTTGAAACTTTGGAAGGTTTATCTGATGAGGAGCTGATGGAGGCAATTACTGGCTTTGCCTCAAGAAAAGTGGCCGAGGACGACGCCAAAGCCAAAGGGTGGCTGACTGAACTGATTCCCTCCGACGACGATCGAGTTTTACACGAGGACGATGATGTTGTCATTATAAAAGAAAGCGACGTCGTCCGTGCTATGGAAGAGAAGGAGGAAGAGGTGATGCAACGCCTGGGTGAGAGATTGATAAACCATTTGGATGCGGCGGACAAGAGCAAAACCGAGGTTGGGAATTCCCAATCTTCCACAACCGGAGGGGCTTCATCGTCGGGGACAAAAAAGGATGAATGAAATTTGTTATCTGTTTCTGTTTTCTTTTTTCTTCTTTTTTTTTTTTATATCGTATGTAATGACAGTTTCTTATTATGAATGAAATTTGATGTTTTGATTTCGTGTTTCATGAATGTAATGTCTTGACATATTTATTGTAACATGTCGGAGTAAGGATAAATGAATGTTTAGTAGATCATGCTTGTAATTACTCCGACGTGATACTTGGCACTTACAGTTTGCCTTGTTATGAGTTTGTTTAAATTTTTGGTGTCGACATAATTTATAGTATATCCGACATCTGCAAACTCTTTATCAGAACAAGTCGTAAAAAACTTGCTTTTATTGCAAACATTTATTGTGAGCTCATCAAATCAACGTCGGGATTTGATATTATAGAGCGTAAGCCTCCCCAAACCATCTTCAGGGCTTGGAAGTATCCGGATTTGTCGCGTTTGGCTAGGTCATACCAACTTCAGGGTATGAAACATCTTTAGCCTTAGCAACGAGGACCGATTTATTGTGGCCCGAGTGATCGAACAAATTATAGTGGTTCGTCACACAAACTTTATTGACAACAAAATGCGATTCTTGTACATGGGTAGAACAAAAGACTTTCATACATCGGAGACAGAGGTTTGGCCTTGAGGTTTACTGGTAGTACTTCTTCAGATAGGTTGCGTGCCAAGGATACTGAAGGGGAACACCATCTAGAGTCTCAAGTCGGTAGGTTCCATTAGAAATCAGACGATTCACTTTAAAGGGTCCTTCCCACTTCGGTTGTAACGGACCGACATTGGCCCCAGTGATTTTTTTCAGAACAAGGTCTCCTACGATAAATGAGCGTGGCTTGAGTCTTGAATTAATGTATTTCTCACTACGTCGTTTATAAACGGCATTTCGAATTTCAGCATCAACCCGTAATTCATCGACCAAATCGAGATTGTCTTTCAGGTTTGCCGAGTTGGTTTCTTCAGAAAAATGAGTAATCCGATATGTTGGAGAAGTAAGTTCAACCGGTATCACAGCTTCAGTCTCGTATGCTAACGAAAACGGAGTTTCTCTAGTTGAGTTTCGTGTCGTCGTCCGGTAAGACCAGAGGACATAAGGTAGCTCATCAGGCCACGATCCCTTTACAGTCTCAAGCCGAGTTTTCAGACCATTCTTGATAATCTTATTTACAGCTTCTATCTGTCCATTAGCTTGTGGATGATAAGGTGATGAGAAGAAGTGTTTGATGCCATAATCTTCACAAAAGCCTTCAAATCGTTTCCCTTCGAACTGACGACCGTTGTAGGTTATGATGGAGTTCGGTATTCCAAACCGACAAACGATTGATTTCCACACAAAATCGATCATCTTTTGTTCAGTGATGGTTGCAAGAGGTTCGACCTCAACCCATTTGGTGAAGTAATCAACAGCTAATATTGCAAACCGAACACCTCCTTTTGCTGTCGGAAGCGGGCCAATCAAATCAATTCCCCATTTTGCGAACGACCATGGGCTATATATTGACTTGAGGAGTTCAGGATGTTGATTAATGTTGGGAGCAAATATCTGATACTTATGACATTTTCGCACCCAGTCTGCGGCATCTTTCCTGATAGTCGGCCAATAGTAGCCTTGTCGGAGAATCTTGTGGGACAAAGATTGTGCTCCTTGATGAATACCGCAGACTCCTTCATGTACTTCTTGAAGAACACGTCGGGCGTCAATTTCCGACAAGAACTTGAGCAATGGAGTAGAATATCCACGCTTATATAGTGTTCCTTGATCAATTGTGAAATGAGCAGCACGAACACGAAGAGCACGAGCTTCTTTTGGGTCTTCGGGTACGGCCCCGGTTTGAAGGTAGTTGATGATTGGATCCATCCATGTCAGGTTCAGGATTGGTGAGGCAGCGTCGATCAGGACGACGTCGGTAGAGACTATTGAGGAGGTCGCCTGTTGAGTAATTTGCACAAACTCGACATTGTTCAAATCGGTTGAAGAGGCCAAACGCGAAAGAGCATCTGCTTGAATATTAGATGACCGAGGTATATGTTCTAACGTCATTTTGAACCGTGATACTTTTTCTTAACGAGATCAAAATAAGGCAACAACCGTGGTTCCTTAACTTCGTAAGTGCCATTAATATGGCTGACGAGTAACTGAGAGTCAGAAAATATTCGGAGAGAGAAACTATTCATGGATTCAGCAAAGTGTAGGCCTGATAAGAGGGCCTCATATTCAGCTTCATTGTTGGTGGCCGGGAAAGTGAATACTACAGAGTAACAAAACACCTGATGATCAGGACTAACTAAAACAATTCCTCCTCCAGCTCGTATAGCGGTGGACGATCCATCAATGTAAAGAGTCCATTTCGGATCTTCAATGGATGTACTGACAATTGGGGTAAACTCTGCAATGAAATCAGATAACACTTGAGCTTTGATGGAAGTTCGTGGTCGGTACTGAATATCAAACTGTCCCAGTTCTATCGCCCACTTAATCATTCTTCCCGATGTGTCAGGACGGTGAAGGACTTGTCGGAGAGGGTATGATGTAAACACGATAACAGAATGCTCCAGAAAATATGGGCGCAGCTTTCGTGCAGCAATGATCAGAGCAAAGGCTAATTTCTCCATATACGGATATCGCAATTCAGCGTCATGTAAGGCCTTGCTAACGTAATATATCGGGAACTGCTGAAGCCCATCTTGTCGTATAAGAACAACACTAACAGCAACATCACTTACACCCAAGTACAAATACAAAGGTTCATCAGGAAGAGGTTTTTGCAACGTCGGTAACCGTGAAAGGACATCTTTGATGTTGTCAAAAGCATTCTGACATTCCGCGGTCCATTCGAACGACTTCTTCTTTCTGATGGCGTCAAAGAACGGCTTACAATGATCCGTCGACTTTGAAATGAATCGGTTCAGAGCTGCCAGTCGACCAGTTAAAGCTTGGACACCCTTAATAGATATCGGGGGAGCCAATTCAAGTATGGCTTGGATCTTGGCAGGATTGGCTTCAATTCCTCTCTGACTCACCATGTATCCTAAAAATTTCCCTGATCCAACCCCGAAGGTGCACTTCTTGGGATTAAGCACCATGGAGTATTCTCGGAGAATGTCAAAGACTTCAGAAAGATGAGTGATGTGGTCAGAGGCTTGTTCCGATTTCACCAGCATGTCGTCTACGTAAACTTCCATTGTACGACCGATCAAACGAGCGAACATCTTATTGACCAACCTTTGGTATGTGGCCCCAGCATTCTTCAATCCAAAAGTCATCATGACATAGCAATACAGACCTCGGGCTGAGTAGAACGATGTATATTCAGCATCATCAGGGTGCATGGGAATTTGATTGTAACCGGAATAGGCATCCAAAAAGCTCATGAGTTGATGTTCCGATGTAGCGTCTACCATGTAATCAATGTGTGAAATTGGATAGCTATCTTTCGGGCATGCTTGATTCAAATCCGAGAAATCAATGCACAGACACCAAAGGCCGGTGGCTTTCTTAACCAAGACAGGATTTGATATCCACGTCGGGTACTTGGCTTCTTTGACGAACTTATTGTCTATGAGCTTGTTCACTTCCTCTTCAAGAGCCTTCTGGCGATCTGGGCCGAATTTTCGGCATTTCTGTATGACGGGCTTGACGGTCTTATCCAAATTTAAGCGATGACATGCTTTCTGCGGGTCTATTCCTTTCATGTCTTCATGCTTCCAAGCGAATACGTCGGAATTTGACTGAAGAAATTGAATTAAGCATGACCGTGTGGGTTCTTGAAGGTTAGCTCCAATGCGCAATGATTTTTCCTGAGTCAATCCATCCACGTAAATAGTTTCGATGTCTTCGACTGGTTCCGCTCGAGCATGATGGTTTCTATCTTTGAATTGCATCCGTGGATCCATATCTTTCGCGCATTCCTATGTCTTTTTCATGAAAAGATTGTTCTTGATCAAGGGCTTCATTTAGTGTTTCAGGCAAATCCGACGTCACAGGGACATCGGTACCTGCAAGAAGAGGGATGTCGGTATTTGAAGCGAATTGATTAGTCCTTTGAGCATCGGGAGGAGTTGGGTTGTTCAACTCAATAGAGTTATCAGTATCCTGCTCTTCAATCATATGAAAGTTACGCAAGGTTGAAAGCAACGTCAGACTTCAGGCTTCTCGTTGATCTCCGTAATGGGTGTCTTCTCCTTCAATGGTAGGGAACTTCAAGGCGTAATGAAAAATTAACACGGCAGCACGGAGCTTGTAAAGTGCAGTTCGCCCTATAACAACATTATATTCATTCTGGACATCCAAGACTTTTAAAGTCTCCATGATAATCTTGGATTTTGGCCCAAAACCGCCAAATCGAATGGGGAGTAATATTTCACCGACGGGACAAGAGATGCTTCCGTTAAAACCTTGAATTTGGTCGTTGCAAGGTCTAATATCTGCTGGGTCCAAACCCAATTTCTTGAAAGTGCGGAGCATCAAAATACTTGAATAAGCTCCTGTGTCGACCAAAATTCGGTGAACAGGGATCCCTCCAATCGGGGATGTGATAATAGGGGCGTCGGAATGAGAATGAGCGAATAGATTGGCATCTTCGATACTGAATGTGATAGGACAATTCCGTTTGTTAATGGTATCTCGAAGATCAACGTTCATGACTCGTTTCTCGGCATTTTGTGCCTCCCGAGCATAGGCTTTGGCTTTCCGTCGAGAAGTGTCCAGCTGTTTATTATTAGAATTGACTCGAGGTATGAAATGTGAAGAGTCTAAGGTATCATGTGTCCTGGATTTTTTTGTAGTTATCGGTCGAAGTTCCGACAAGGGTAGAAAATGTGAAAACCTCCTTATCGTTTGCGCGGGCTCTTTTCGGGTTAACAGGTCGATTATCATCATCTTCATCATTTGAAAGATCTAAGGGCCTCCCTTTCCGGCGATTATCAAAATTTCGGAACTTTTGAAGTTGAGGTTGTCCAATTAACCGTAAGAGGGCTGACAAAAGACCGAGACACTCATCGGTATTATGTCCCAGAGACTTATGGTATGCACAGTACCGAGTTTTGTCCAGCTTGTCTTCAGGAGTTCTCACGGGTCTCGGGTCTTGAATAATCCCTTTTCCTTTCAGTTCTTCATATATAGTAGCTGCTCCGGCTGAATAAACGGCCTGATAGCCTGTCCTGACATTGTCTGAATATTGATCACGAGCGGCCCTGGACTCTGGGGTGTTTTCATATCCTTTGGAGAAATTCCGAAATTGTGCTTTCCCAAAGTTCTTCTTATTCTTCTTTTTAGCATCCGGTTCAGTCTTGTTTTCTTTCGCCGAGAAGTCGAAACTGGGAACCGACATCGATTCCTCGACAATAATGAATTGTTGAGCTCGTATAAGGAATTCTTGAAACGTAGCCAGTTTGTTTTGGCATAGGGTCCAGTGAAACATCGAGTTGGGCTTCAGTCCAGTGATTGCAGTCACTAACAAGGTCTCAGGGTGACAAGGCTCCATATTTTGAATTCGGTCGTTGAACCGAGACACGTAGTCCTTAACAGTTTCATCGTCCTTTTGCACGATGTTAGTGATTGATTCTTTTGGGATGAGACAAATTTGAGCTCTGATGAAGTGTGATCGGAAGGCCGCACGAAACTGTTGCCACTTCCAAATTGAATGAGGTGGAAGAGTATAGTACCATTTTTGTGCTCGTGGCCCCAGTGTAAGCGAAAACATCCGATATCTCAAAGCATCTGAGGCTCCATGTAAATCCATCCACGACGTGTAATGACCCAAGTATGCATCTGGGTCCGAAGTTCCATCATACATGCCAATTTGTGGGATTTTTATCTTAGCAGGAAGTGCCTCCGCGGTAAGTTCCGGAGCTAAAGGTGAATCAGCTTCAATAATGACATTTCCCGACATCGAGACATGTCGGGGAAAATCTTCCTGTGACTTCTGTCGAGTCTCGAGTTCGGCCAAGCGTTTACGGAGAACTTCAATTTCCTCTGCACTGTGTCTTGAGATATGATTACGTTCAATCTGACGCCGTAAATCTTCACGAACATGAGGCATCGGTGAAGTAGGTCTAGGACGTGACGGAATTCGCTGATGATGAGCAGAGTGGCTCTCAGCGGTCATTTCTTGTACGGGGGGTTCCTCCGGGGCCTGGTTGTTTGTTACTGGGTTAGCGGTTATACGAGTTAACTCCTCTCGACGTGGAGAAGTATGATGTGGCTGTGACATAGCATGGGATGTCGTTGCATGCGTTTCAGGGTCATGACGAGTATGATTTGGATGTTCTGTTGGATTGGTGGCAAACGGCGTTGATAATGGCATCGTACTCGAGTTTCTGGGCATGGCTCGAGCTATCAGAGAGGTTAAACCTTGAATAAACTCCGTATTTTGAAGGAAGTTCGTGATATTCGTAACCGGAGGAGGTGGTGTTGAACGCCGTGGAGAATGGTTAGTCGATTGGCTCTGGCCAGGATGGGCTGTGATGGGTCTCCTCCTAGATCTGGAGTGAACCGGTGGAAATGAGCTCCGGTCTGTTCGAATCGTCTCCAAGTCGCCCGGGGACCGCAGTGAACACCTGCAAGAACTCAACACCGGAAGTGTTTTCCGGTGAAGAGCCTCCGACGCTCAAGTCAGTGAATGAAAAGAGAAGGAGCTCTGCTCAGTGGGAGCAGCAGCTGAATATTGAATGAGGAGAATAATGGTTAGGGTTTGGAGTCACCTCTACTCCTTTATATAGGAGTAGAAATACTCACTAGAAATACCTGAATTGCCCTGGCTGACTTACCTGAAGTGTCCAAAATGCCTGGTCACTTCACATTCTGCCCACTCTCTGAGTCAGCACCTAGATTCCTTCTTATCTCGTATAGATTCTCTAGCTCTAAAAACCCCGCTTCGTCATTGAGGTCAATGTGAGCCGCCAGAAGTACTCTAAGTCGATTCGAAGCATTGTCGAGTCGACTTATGGTCCTGTGATTATATCTGAGGTTCTCAGAATGTTCATTCGCATAAGTCGACTTAAACAGAGACGACTTCTTGAAGTCGTCTTTTGATCGTCCTCAGGCCAGTGGTGATCCTTATATGATTGATAGACCATGTCGACTTTGTAGGTATAGTTTTTAATGATATTCTTGGCAGCGTGAGTCGAGTAACTAATGCCTGAATCGGGCTATGACAATAGGGCTATATCATCTAGTCCCCCCGAAGAATTACTCTAAGCGACTTTGAGCTTAAGAGTAAGTTTAGTAATTGGGCCTTACTTTTTCTTTCGTTGGTGAGTCGTCTCGTCTTTTACTCTCAAATCGTCTCGTTGGCGACTCATGTAACTCGCCTCGGGCGCTTATGGTTCAACTTTATTATTTACGAACTCTTTCTGAGCATATCCACTATCATTATTTTGAATTTCGAATTTTTGAATTGAGACCTGACACGCCGCCTCATCTTTTCTTTTGCCGCTTCGAATTCTGTGCCACATCTGAACCGTTGATTTTTACTTTAATCTAACGGCCAGGGTTCCGTAGTTCCTCCTATAAGTATCTTCTTCTTCCTCCCCTTCACACTTTTCGCACTCAAGGATTCTCGAGTTTTCTCTTTTCTTCCGGCAATAAAACACCCAGCGATTCCGGCATGTACCTTTTTCCGGCTACTTCTCCAGCACTTTCGGAACTTTTTACTCCCATCAATATGTGTAAGTTTCACTTATCCTTTATTTCTGAAAGATTTTTATGCCTATTTTCTGGGTTTTTGGATTTTGGAGTTCTATGTATGTTCTTCGTGTTCTTGAGGATCCTCGAACGATTCTGGATGTATTAGTGTTAGATCTTAAAACATGCTTTTTCCGATTTAAGATTATGTTTATGAGAAAGTCCCCTTTTGGAGGCGTAGTCGACTTTATCTTCTTCGCGCGTCGACCTCTGTCGACCCTGGTATTCCCCGTTCTTTCTTTGGTATCGACACCCGTCCCCTGACGAGTCCATGTTGGGCTCGGGCCGTTTTCCTTTTCTACAATCCTTCTGGCCCCAGTAGTTTCCTCTGAGGTCGACTTTATGGCTAGAAGCCTTCTCATACCGACGTACTCTATCGGCTTCTTTCACTTTTATATTGACCTTTGTTTCTCGACTCTTTCTCATAGATTCCGGATCCGACTCTGTTTCTGGCTCTATTCCTGGCTCTCTCGTCCGTCAAATAGAAGAATATTTAAGCTCCGACTCTGTCGAAATAATTGGCTCTAAACCTGCAGTCGAGCAAGAGAGGTCACAGGGCTCATCCACCTCGATTTTTGGAATACACCACAACGTATATACCCAAGCACTTTTGTCGGGTGAGTTGATGCAAAATAAGGACGATCCTAATCGAGGTAGCGACTCTCCTCGACTAAACCTTCTTCCTCAAGGTATTCCCCTTAGGCTCTTAGATGTTCCTGTATATAGGACGAGCCCTATTTCTTTGTCAATAACGCCTTCCTTTCTTAAGTCTCGAGATGTAACCATAGCTTGTCCCTTAGCCAAGTTAGCTGTTCTAAATCCTTTTTCTTATGCCTCTGCAGCCCAAATTGAGGGATTTAGGGCGTTCAGCGGTCTACCTTCTGACTGGGAGCTGCTTCACCCTGGCCCCAATGATGTTTTCACTCACCCTCCTAAGGGTTGCTTCACTTTCTTCGTCGACCAAATAATGTTTGGCTTGCGGTTCCCTGTTCAACCCGAGCTCTTGTCGATTAGCAACATGTACAGTGTACCCATAAATCAGTTTTCTCCTAACGCTATTCGCATTATGCTGGCTTTCATCATAATCTGTAAGATAAAGTTTGGCCACTTCTTGCCCGAGTTTCTTTTGTATTGTTATAGTTACAGTTTCATAAGAGACGCCCATTGTCTGGGTCGTCTTCCCGGTGTTTCCTCCCTCGAGGATCTTTTTTCGAATGTAACCGAGTGGAAGACTAAGTTCTTCTACATCCGTCCTGCTCCCGGTCAGTACCCTTTCTCCAACATCTGGCTTACCTCCAAGGTCAGTCAAAACAATCCTCGTCCTAAGTCGAGCCAGTTTCAGAATATGTTGGACGACTTAAATAAGTTCACGTGGAGTGCCCGCTTGTTGGTTAAAGATCGTGGTCTTCTTAATCATGTGGTTGGTGGAAAGACGAGGATGCTCCTCGCGTTGATGACCCTCGTAAGCCCGTGTGTTTGTCTGTTTCTATGCTTATCTCCTTTTATTCATAAGCTGCTCGCGTTTATAATCATTGGTGGTGTTTCCTACTTACTAGTTCCCTTGTTGTTCAGTTAAAGCTTTGCAACGCTTCGAGACCAAGGATACGAAAGGCAGTGCAAAGTCTGCCAAGACAGTCGCTCCCTCAGCGAGACCCGATGATGGATCTGGCTCTGGAGTGAAGAAGACGGCGGCCGAGACGACCATCGCTAGAAAATCAAAGATGGTCATCCCTTTCTCCTTGCCGTAGAAGAACCCAGGTCCTGGGGCCAAGAAAAGGGGTCCGGACGAAGTCGACCCTGAGCAGAGGGCCGACTCGTCCAAGCGCCTCAAGAGTAAGGACAAGGGAAAGCAGTTGAAGCTCCCCGTTCTCCCGGCGCCCTCGAGACGGTCACACTCGAGAGGCCCTGCCAACTCTGGAACCATCCCTATCCGCATGAGATTGCCAAATATTTTGATTCCGTAATCCCGGTGGCCGACAAGGCTCGCGCCGACCGCGACCCTTACGACCGTGCTGGTCATGCTCTTTTGTGTTTTTCGCGGGTAAGAATTCTCGAGACCTTAGTCAATTATTTTTCTTATTCTCGCTTTTGCCTTATACTGATCTTTATTCTTTTTCGGTTTCTCTTTTCAGCTCATGGCATATGTGATGCCTACTCTTCTTGAGGAGTCCAGCTCCCCAAACTCCAATGTCCACGCTTATAAGAAGAAGTGTGCTGAGCTACTTTCTGAGCTCGAGCAGAAGAATGACAACCTTGCGGCGGCCAATGCCCTCATCACAAAACTCAAATCTGAGAAGGCCGCCGCCCTCTCTAAGGTCGACAAGCTGCGCATCGACCTGGCGAAGGCCATTGAAGATAACGTGGCCGAGAGGGAGATTGGGAAGGAGGAGGGGCGTAAATCCTTCCTCAAGTCCCCGATGGGTTCTGTCTTCCTCGACGCCTATCGAAAGAAGGTCGTAGGAGCGTTCTGCAACTCCCCCGATTTCCTCGAGAAACTGTGCCCTGCGACCCTTCAGTACTTCAATTTTACATTCGACGCGTGGGAGTCGGTCGCGAGGGGCACTTCTCTGGAGGGCGAGGTCGACCGTCAGGCACTGAAAGAGTCTCTTCCTCTTCCGGCCGGCTATCATGGTGATACGTCGTTTCCTGACGATTATCCCTGGTGGACGGGTCTTGAGGCTCGAGCGATCCAAAAAGCTAAGTTGGGTACCCAGCTCGAGGTTCCCCCCACCCCTTTGGCCGGTCCAGTCAACTTGGTCGAGCCGAGTGGAGCGGACGACGAGGAAGAGGAGGAAGAGGCCGATGAGGAGAGGGAAGTCGAAGAGCCGAGAACGGGGCCAACGGTCGAGGAGACGGGTGGCGGGACTGAGCCTTTGGGTGACGAGGAAGATGCGAGGACTGAGACAGTGGCTGATGGAGGCGGGGATGCCGATCTTGGTGAAAAATCAACTGCTGATTCTCAACAGAACTAGATGTTCACTTGTTTTGAAGTTTGTTATTTTTCTATTGCCATACTCGATCTATTTTCCCGGATTGTAAAGATCGAGGTGGCTTTTGGATGTACTTGAACGTCTTTTAATTATAATGCTATCTTTTCTCGTCATTTGTCTGTATTTTATCGATTTTTTGGTTTTTCTTTCAAGTGTTTGTTATTGCGAATTTTTGAATGTTTCACCAGTTTTTTTTTTTGCGTTGTATTATATCTCCTCCCCACCCCTTTTGCGAGCTGGTCGAAGTCGAGCAACGTCTTTAACAGCTTCATAGCTGGTAAACAAAGTTTTTTCAACTCGTCTTCTCCCAACCCGGCTTGCGAGCTGGTCGAAGACGAGCAATGATTTTAACAGCTTCATAGCTGGTAAACAAAGTTTTTTCAACTCGTCTTCTCCCAACTCGGCTTGCGAGCTGGTCG